TGCTGTTTCCAAGGGTGGGATGGTGGATGAGGCTTTTAGGCTGTTGAATAATTTTACTGAGGATGGTCACAGACCGTTTCCTAGCTTGTATGCGCCTGTTATCAAGGCTTTGTGTAGGAGGGGGCAGTTTGATGATGCGTTTTGCTTCTTTGGGGATATGAAGGCCAAGGCGCATCCTCCTAACAGACCTCTCTATACCATGCTTATTACCATGTGTGGTCGTGCTGGCAAGTTTGTTGAGGCTGCTAATTATATATTTGAAATGACGGAGATGGGCTTGGTTCCCATTTCACGATGTTTTGACATGGTTACTGATGGATTGAAGAATTCTGGCAAACATGATTTGGCTAAGAGAGTGCAAGAACTCGAAGTTTCTATCCGTGGTGTTTGATGCCTCGTGTATTAATGTATTATTCTCATACACAGCCAGTCACAACCTCACAAGTCTTCTGCATAATTGAATATAGGTCCTAAAGCCTTATTCTTCTATCTCTTTTCCTATATTTTATTCCCTCTATCTCATAGGGTTAGTTAGCAGTTATGTTAGAAAGAAGGGGATAAAAGTGCTGGGAATCCCTAGGATACATTCCAAGATATCTTGAACAAGCTGGGACAAAATTCTTGAGAATTAGCGAAATTCCTCCAGGAAAAACAAGCCACCAGTAGTAGAGAGAAAGTGTTGTCACGAGACCTGCGATGGAAGAGAAGAGAAGCTTCAGCAGGCCAGGTGACCCACTTCCACCACCAAAACCACCGAATGTTATTCGAGTTGCAACGGCCTAAGATATTCCTGAATCATGTGCCTACTCAATTATAGTCAAAATCTAATTTTTAAAAACAGCCTTGAGTCAAAATCAAGTTTGTGCAAGTTTGGTAGGGAATAGAGGACCATGTTTTTACTGTAATTGTTGTACTTCCTCTGATTTATTGACATTCTTTCAGCAATTTATACCCCATCAGCATTAGCATCAAAATAATTAACACGTATCAAACAATGACCATGTATCGGCATCTCGACATTAGAACAATGGCCATGTCAATTAGATACTTATAGATGTATGTGAGGGGTAACATTTGATATTCAATATTTATTCCTCTTATTCTCGCATGAAAAATAGTTTTACTAAATATGCTACTTATATATATACATAATAGTATTTAGTTTTTATATATAAGTGCTATGAAATGTAAGAAATATTAGTTTAAGTTTAGAACATTCAAAAGAATTCAAAACAGTAATCTATACATCTTAATTTTAAAGATGAATTATATATACATTTTTTTGAACGCTTCTAAGGTGAAGAAGTTAGGTTGATGGTATATAGGTGAGTATGATTTTTCACCGGTAATAGTGAGTTTTGTGATTTATTTGTAATTGCAAAATAGTCCCTATATTAAATAGGGTTTAGGCTCTATCATCTCCGTCTGTCAATCTTTTGACGTCACTGGCTTCAACCGTTGACAACCAGTCCGACCCTGATTTCCTCGTTGGCTACTCCATCCTCTTCGTTTGCCAGCCCTCTGGCTAGGGATGGCAAAATGGGTCGTGGCCCGCTAGCCCGCCAAAATTGGCGGG